ACAGGGTTAAAAGGTGTAACCTCTGCAGAAGGTATTTTTGTTTGTTTTTTTGAATCTCTAAGTGCAGGGTGCTATAGGGATTGTAACACCGAGGTGGACAGAGGGGCTTGTTAGTATATCCTGGAAGATACTGAGCTCACAGCTACACTCTATTTTTAGCCTGCCAGTCCCCTTGAGCTGGGAATTACATGCCCAGCACGGAGTGTAGACGTACCTGTGGCCCAGGGAGTTCCCCAGTGCCAACCCTCAGAGCGCACTCCATACCACAACTCTCTTCTGGCCTGACACACTCATTACCCCAACTCACTGGTGTTGAAATCTACATCTAAAAGGTGTTGTGTAAGGTGTCATGCAAACTGCTATCATGCTGGTCATTAATATTGTTGTGTGGTGCATGAACAGGTGAGGTTTAAAGAAGGATAGATGTGTGCCTAAGCCCAGCTGTCCTAAACAAAGGGCTGTTGTTTCATGGGCTTGACTGTGTCTCCATTGTAAATTAATTAAGTTGAAAGCAAAGCAAAGAAACCCCCATGTACATGTAAAGTAAACAAAGCCATCGGGCAAACAAGTGCAGGAGGATAAGCCCTTAACAATCTTGATGGGGGGTGGAGGCTGCACCTCTAGGAAGCCTTCCTGCCTCTTCAAACAGGGTGAATGAACTTTGGGAAGATTTGAGCAGAGGCAAAAAGCCATTTTGTTATCCATCACCTCAGGGACAGAGGAGGAGCAGGGCCCTTTGAGGTCATGGAAAGTGGATCCTCTTGGCCTGGAAACCAAGAGTAGCTGGAACTGACTCTAGGGGAGAAATCTGCTTAGACAGAGACTGTAACTTGCTGGAGTTATATTTTAGTCACTAGAAGTGTGTTTTGTTTTGTTTTACTTGTTACTATACCTGTGTCTGCCATTCCTAATGATTATCCCTTAAATATCTGTTCTTTGTTGATAGACTCACTCTAGTTTTATTAAAAAACCATCCCAGTGCTCTGTATAAAACTACAGAGCAAAATCCTGAGCCAAACTAGCAGGCTGGTGTCTCTTTGGAGGCAGCGCACTTGATAACTTCTGTGAGTACCCAGTGAGAGGGACTGACAGTGGCCGAATGACATGTCTGGGGAACTCGGGCACTGGGGTTCACTGATGGTTCCCGGTAAGGCGAGGTTTGGACTGGCAGAATCCTGAGGCGTTGCTAGCCGGGCAGGCGAGCTGGTGTGGCAGGGAGCTGACAATAGCTGAGCAGCACAAAGCTCTCACTTGCTGAGGCAGAGCAGTAACCGTGTCTGACAGTTCTGAGTGATCTGAGCAAGGCCTCACATACCCTCACTTTCACCATCCGTAAAATGGAGGGGATAATAATACCCACCTACTGCCCAGGAGCTTTGTGAGGATCAATGGCTGGACAGTACTTTGAACACATCAAGTGCTACAGAAAAGGTGAGTGCTCTGAAGAATCAGGTCCTAGGGGGGTCTCACGTTAGTGCCCCACCACCCCAACTTAGTGGAGACTTTGGAAACTTTGGCTTTAATCACCAGAGGTAAAACTTTCAAAAGCGCCTAAATGACCAGGAGCCTAAGTCCCTTTTCAAAATGGGACTTAAGCAAAGAGATACTGAAGTCTCCGTGGTACTGGGGCTCCTAAGTTACTTTTGAAAATGGAAGTTAAGTCCCTAAATCACTTGTCACTTATGAAAATGTTACCATGGGCAACATCCACCCAGTGCAGTGAATGATGCAGGAGCTGAGTGGAACAAATAGTTTGAGAGCATGTCATTAGACTGTATCATAATGTATATGCAAAAGGGGACAAGGAGAATTAGAACGGCACAAACAACTTTACCGATGATATTTCCTAAATTTGAAGTATTTGACTTTGACTAAATAACATTATACTTTTTTTTTTTTGAATGTGACATAAATATTAGAGCTGGTTGAATCTCCCAAATTTTTTCCTGTGAAATATTTCAAATGCAATATTTCAGTTTTTCTCTGGATTTTTTGAAACAGAACCAAGATTTTGACCTTTGAAAATGGAATGAGAATAATTGTTTAGATTCGAACTAAAATGTTGTTTCATTTCAACTTCTGGAAACAAAAATTCAGTTTTCCATTTCAGT